CGTCTCACCGTGAAAACCGGTCTGTCCCAGTCCCAGGAAATATCACCGTCTCACCGTGAAAACCGGCCTGTCCCAGTCCCAGGAAATATCACCGTCTCACCGTGAAAACCGGCCTGTCCCAGTCCCAGGAAATATCACCGTCTCACCGTGAAAACCGGCCTGTCCCAGTCCCAGGAAATATCACCATCTCACCATGAAAACCAGCCTGTCCCAATCTTGGTAAATATCACCATCTCATCGTGAAAACCGGTCCGTCCCAGTCCCAGTAAATATCACCGTCTCACCGTGAAAACTGGCCTGTCCCAGTCCCAGTAAATATCACTGCCTCACCGTGAAAACCGGTCTGTCCCAGAACCGGTAAATATCACCGTCTCACCATGCAAACCAGCTTGTCCCAGTCCCAGTAAAATCACCGTCTCACCATGAATACCGGCCTGTCCCAGTCCCGGTAAATATCACCGACTCTTGAGCGGAGTGCCTACAGAATGGAGATGTCAGCGGTAAGAGAGGAATGGTGATTGACTCAGTTTTCTCTGCTGTCGGTGGGTGGGGGTGGAGGGTGGTCTGGGAGGACGGTGACAGACCTGTACTCCGTGCTGAGGGCTGTTGCAGACAGGAAATGGCTGGGAAAAACGGTCAGCCTTTGGTGGCTCTTGGACGGTAAGTTTTGTGTGTGAGAGACAGAAAGAGAGAGAGCGAGCGCTCTGCCAAAACAAAACCAATTTGGTGGGAGGTCGTTGGGGAGGGTTGGGCTCGTGGGTGCAAGGTGTCTGTGACCTCCCACACCATTAAACAATTAGGCTTTGAGCCTGTTCATAACCGATTATAGCTGTTCCTCAGCTCCATAACGCTGTTCCTCAGCTCTAAAACCCACTGAACAGGACTTGGCAAGAACACAAACCATTTTACCGATCCACTATCTCATCAGCAGTTCTTATAACAGTAACCCAAAAAACACCCCTTGGTAACTACATTAACCCATCAAACACACCTCCGTTATTAAATTAATCCATCGAAAAGCCTTCAGTAACTACATTAACCTCGTCAACACCAAATGGTTACCATCTTAACCCATCAAACAAACTTCAGTTACCACATTAATCCATCATAAACCCCTTAGTAACGACATTAAACTGGCAAACACCCCTCAGTAACCACATTAAAACATCAAGCTGCCCTGAGTTACTACATTAACCTAGCAAAGACACCTCAATAATTACATTAATCCATCAAACTCCACTCGGTTATGACGTTACACCAGCAAACTCCCCTCGGTAACCACATTAATCCATCAAACTTGTCGCAGTTAACGCATTACCCTGGCAAACTCCTTTCGGTTAATACGTTAACCAAGGAAACTCCCCTCTGTAACTACATTAACCAGCAAACGCTCCTCGGTTACTGCATTAAATCATCAAAAACCCTCAGTTATAACACTAACCCACTGAATGACCCCGGCACAATCCCATCAGCTGCCAGTGAAGCATGGACCCAGATTGAAGACTGCAAGTCTCGCCCATACAGGCCCAGGACATAGGGCAGATGTTAGAGAGCAGGTGGACATCAGACCTTGTGGTCAAATCCCATGCAAGATACAACCCTCGGCCTGAGAGTTGCGAAGGCAGCTCCACTCAGAATCAGAGCGGTCAGCAGGAATACGCGCTCAGAATCACACAGCCAGGAATGAACTATATGTTTGAAACAATAAAGCATGGTTTCCAGAAAATGCATAAAGAAGACTGGTGGATACCGACTCAGTAACACAGGGTGCTGGGGGGGAGAGGGGTTAATGAGGGACGGTGTGAGGGAGAGAGATT